CATATAGGCCCTTCTGAGTCAGGCAACTGTATTTGGTGCCCAAATGATCTTCAAACACCTGAGCACTTTGCGATTGAATGCCAGGTCAGCTCCTTGATCTGGAAGGAGACTTATAGCTTTCTAAATATTATTAGTGAAAAAACCCCATCAACCTTGAAAGAAGTCTTCCAAATTCTAGACACACCACACTCTCAAGTCTCTCTAGCCAAGATCTGGCTCCACATTAACTCGATATATGAGATCTGGTGTCAATATACTGCAGCAAAATGGGGAGAGGTGAATATACCTCCAGCCTCTTTTACCTTTATTACTAGAAACCATATTTCAAGAGAAATACATACTTTAAAATACAATGCATCAAACAATCTTTCTAAAACTTCTAAAATAATATGTAAATACATAAGTTGTACATAGACTATTTATTATATTCCTAATAAAAGAGCGCAACCTGTATCCCTGGTCTCATGACTTCAGGGTTAATTTAAAAAAAAAAAATTATATACTATTGCAACATTCATATATCTTTAATATAAAGCTTTGCCTTAATATAAATTTTTTTTTCTGTTCTTGCAAACTGTGTTTGGAAGTTTTTCTTGATCCCTTGCCTAGTCATCGGGAGCCTCTGACCTGGATCAGTCTAAAATAGTAGCTTCGTATTTGTTTAGACCAAACATGTAGTTGCTATCTACCATGTTGTCCAAATTTGAAAAATGTAAACAATACCAATTCTTTAACAGAAGTAAGCTGTTTTGTCTACTTTTTTGTAAAATTTTTGTTGCTAGAACAAGTAAACAATATATGCCAAAGGAAGAAGTGAGAGTGTACCAACTTTGTAAAGAGTGTAAGAGTTATGCTATATAGAAAGAACATATTTATTCAAATATTTACTTCTGCTATTGCTTTGGTAGTATTTGATATAGCTTTAGACTAGGTTTGCTATTTTTTTGCTTAGTAACACCTTAGTTTTCTACTAGGGTTTTACTTATAAGAGTTGTCTCTTTTTCATTTCTATTTTAATTCCAACTATCTATAGTGAATAATCACTGCTTCTAGCTACTAATGATAGAGTTTTGTTATGAATAAATATGTGTACTAAGTAGTTTTTGTAGTTTGGGCTTTTAGTGAAATATTGATATCCAAATATAGTATATATATATTTAAAACTTTTTTATACTAAATTAATTATAGGTGTGGTGACTTAGTAAAGTGGTGAAGTTGTCGCACCCCCGATGGCAGATCTAGAGGTCGAATCCCATGGATGATGTTTTTAAAAAATAGCTCTATGATACGGTTAACAGCTATTCAACGATCGGTAGAATCTAGAAATCTGTAATCTCAGTAACACTATCTAGAATAGGAGCCTTGGCGTAATAAATTTGAGATACCGGAAGAACCAAAAACCTATTTGGCAAGTCCTGAGTTGGGAAGTAGTGTGATCTTTGACAGTATTACAAGAGGACTGAA